AATAGCCCGCCATCTCGTGGCCATTTTGCGTCATGGCGGGTGGAGGAAAGAACTTAATAATAATAGCCCGCCATCTCGTGGCCATTTTGCGTCATGGCAGGTGGAGAAAAGAACTTAATAATAGCCCGCCATCTCGTGGCCATTTTGCGCATGGCAGGTGGAGGAAAGAACTTAATAATAATAGCTCACCATCTCGTGGCCATTTTGCGCATGGCAGGTGGAGGAAAGAAATTGTACAGCAATAACAGCCTGCCACCTGGTGGAGGTTTTTCGTTATGGCAGGCGCAGGGAAGGAATCGCGAAAGTTAATATAAATAAAAATAATCAGGTTACAGACCTGGCGAAATCCGATGAGGGGTCTTACTCTGAGTCCCCCGTCACTCTAGAGAGGAAAACGGGGTGAAAATAGACCTCAAATTACATGAAAACCGCGGTTTTCAAAGTCTATGGGAAATTGCATTAACAATAATAGCCTGCCATCTCGTGGCCATTTTCCGTCATTGCAGGGGGAGGAAAGAAATTGCACATTAACAATGATAGCCTGTCATCTCGTGGCCATTTTGCCAATAAGCAAATAACAGGTTATAGTTACATAAATAACCAGTTCCTAAATTAACCATTTAGATGGCAGATTTTTAAATGTGTTTGTGTATTATATATACCTTGGGATGACAGACCATTCCCAATGTTTGAATCTGCAGTTCCCATATTCATCACTGGAGGGCAGGTTTTTCAGTGTGCACAATATATATGCTGCATTACTAAAATTAGCCACTGGAGGGCAGACTTTTCTCACCTATCATCTATCTAATCTATCATCTTTATTGTGTATATCTATTGTGGTTATCTATCTTTTACCTATCTTTATTATGTATCTATTATATCGATCTATGGTTATCTATCTATCTATCTATCTATCTATCTATCTATCTTATCTATCTTATCTATCCTATCTCTAATAATTAGATAGATGAATAAAGATAGATTCTAATTTATCCATCTTTCTATCACCTATGTATCTCTCTCTGTGTGTATCTATCTATCTATCTATCTATCTATCTATCTATCTATCTATCTATCTATCTATCTATCTATCTTATCTGCACCTCCTTAATGGCTAAGCCGTACTTCCCCGCATAATTTTGTGGACCAGAGCAGAAGCCTTCCTGGCTAGCACCTGAGTCCCAGGGAAACGGACTTTTAGCCAGCAGGATGAGCCAAGGATACTGGCCCCTTCCTTGTCCAATGTCAGTTGAAAAAGAGCGGGAGAGTTTACTCACTTCTCGGGGAAAGTCGGCTTGTGAGGACATCCATCTCTGATTCGCCCTTGCAAGGGCTTTGCGTGTGGACGATGAATTAAAAAGCAGGAGAGTCCATTCTCTCTTCCCAGATCAACCTACTTGCATCCACTAATCGCTTTCTCCCTGGACCATCATAGACCAGGCTGTTCTGCTACTACGGGTGTCACAACAGATGAGCTTTCCACGGTCCAAAATTCCCCCTTACCCCCCCCTCGCCCCACCAAAATTGAAAGGGTCTTTAAAAATTAAACAGTCATGGGCCGTGCGGCTGAAGAGTTGGCGAGTAAGTTGCAGGTATAAAAAAAAAATAGACCCATTTTGTCACCACATTCTTTTATTTAGTCGTCGTGTAACTTCCTAGGTGCCCCACTGACCCTGTGCTGTGCTTGCCAACGTGTCTTCTTTTCGCTGCTCCCACCTCGCAGGGAGGGCTTTTCTTTCCATCCATTCGCCTTGGAAGGTGGGGAGGGGAGATTGTAGGGATCCTTCCTTGGAACTTTGAAAAGGAAAAATGGGAAGAAGGGCAGCCCCTTTTAAGGGGAGGGGGGGTCCATTCACCACCACCCCTTGTGAGACTCACCCAGGAGTCTCCAAATTCTGAATCATCTCTACCCCTTGTCGGTCTTCTGCTGTTAGCAAAGGGTAGGAGGCGCGCGGGTAAATTTCTGTTAGTTGTTAAAATCTTGGGCCGAGAAAAAGTGTCCCGCCCTCACCAGTTTAGCAAGTTTTTATGTTTTCGCTGAATTTCAAGGAACCGTCTGGAAAGTTCACCGTCCCATCCCGGGCACACTGCCTCTCTCCATCTGTTTTTCGGAGGCTCGTGAGGACTAGAAACTTGTCCCTTGCAGGATCACAAAGCTCCGTTTTGACTCTCGCTGGGCGCCCCCCCCTCCTTCTCTCGATTCCTACGTACGGAGACCCGCTCTGCCTTCTCTCTACGTGGGGCAGGGAGCCTTGCCAGGCCCGCCAAAACCAGTCAGTCCACAACGCTACTGAGATGGGAATGTTAGATAATGTTAAAAAGACGCCCAAACCGGGGTTAGCTGACAATCCAGTTGTCTAACGAGAGAAAGGGCTCTAGCATCCAGAAACTATGCTAGGTGTTTTTTTTGTCCAGATGTGCTCTACTTTGGCCCCCCCAAAAAAACTCTGCTAAGTGTTATAAAAACATTATTACGGTGGGGTGGGGGATACCCTAAGTGTGCTTTTACACAATGCATAGGAGGAAAGGGGGGGAAAGGAAGGATACAGGGGAGAAGAAAAAAACAGTTCATTGAAAATTTGGCCGCGGATTCCTGCCCTCTTTCTTCACGCCTTGGATTTTTCTGCGTTTTCCTGCCTCTTGTTTTCTCGTGTGTGGAACCGCTGGCTCAGCTCCTTGGTGAACACGGAGCAGCAAGATTTCTGAGGTCGACAAAAGAAAGGGGAAAGAAATGGGGGGGAAAGGGGGTTAAAAGGTTATTTTTCCAAAAAAACAAAAAAAACAAAACCCTTTTAAAAAACATATAACTTTTGGCAGCCTCTGAGAATGTCCCTTTCCTTCTGCAACAGGGCTGCAAAGCCCATCAAAATTTAAATTTAATTGGAATTGGGTTTGGCCAGTTTAGAGAAAAGAAGGACTGGGGTGGGGGGGACATGATTAAAAATGACCCTTTATGAGAATATGTGAGAGATTCAGACAAGAGTAAGTGGCCAGATCAGCAGCGTTATTTAAGAACTAAGGAATAGCGCTGGGAAGGCTGATGGAAGCTGCGCTTTGGTGCTGCCCATTTACAGCTTACAACATTTAGTGGTCATTCGAAGTTACAACGGCACTGAAAAAAACCCACTTAGGTCCGTTTTTCTCACTTGCGGCCATCATAACATCCCCATGTTGATCATGTGATCAAACACTTGCCAACTGGCATGTACTCTTGACAGTTGAAGTGTCCCGGGGTCACATTATCCCCTTTTGTGACAAGCCAAGTCAATGGGGAAGCCAGATTCACTTCACCAGCCATGTTTACTAACTTTAACAACCGGGGCGAAAAAAGGTCGTAAAACAGAGCCAAATCCACGTATAACTGTCTCACTCAGCAACAGTAACGTTGGCTCAATTGTGGCCCTAAGTTGAGGACTACCTATGTGTTATTAAAATGCTTGGATTTGGCCATTCTCCACTGCATACCGCCCCCTATCCATGTGTGCTGGCGTGGGAGAAACTAAAGGCAGCTCACCTTCTCCTGTTCGGCCGTGTGACGGCTTTGCTTGGACAGTTCGATCATGGCCACCAGCATTCCCAGGATGAGACCCAGTGCCAGCAGGAGGAAAATCCCCCCCAGAGTTTGGGGCTTCAGGGGACTCCATTTGTCGTGGTCTTCATGAGAACAGCTGCTCTCCCACCATTTGCTGCGGAGATAGTCCAGCTCTCCGGATTCACCAAGTTTCAGGATGGCCACGGAGAGTTTGTTGGTCCAGGGGGATCCTAAGAGAGAGAGAGAGAGAGAGAGAGGGGAGGGGGGGACAATTTAATGGGTCTTGTTTTTTTGGTTGAACTTCAGGATAGACTGTGATGACCCAGGATGGGATACAAAAGCAACAAAGTCACAAAAACAGGTGAAGTCCCTTTAATTCCTTCAACTTGGCTTCAAAGGTCCAATTATTATCATTGACTGGAGACAAAAAACTCCCCCACAAACAGTTGCGAAAAGGAAGAAATTCCGTTCCAACTCAAAATGTATATAAATTATAAATAGAAAAAAACAACACAAACCACACTGAAGCAATTAATAAGACAAGGCAGGATAAGGGCTTGAAGATGTCCACAGATATCAAAATACACACCCTGGGAAGGACGCCAGAACTCAGATAAGAACTGATAAACTAGAAATATTTTCACGCTTTGCTTCCAGCACTGGACCATGTGCGGTTTGTCCTTTTAAACAGTCCTTCCAGCTGCAGCCCATGAAGGGGATCAGGGCCCTTTCCTCCCCATAGACCATGCCATTCACATTTCTCCCTTATCCGCTCCTCCCTGCATGCCCTAGGATGAAGAGGGGATGGGCCTGGGTCTTCCTCTGAATGCCCAGCCGGCCTGTGCCCTTCCCCAGTTTCCTCCACAACCTCTGGAGCCACACTTCCATTCCCTGTCAGCTGTTCCTCCACTCCCTCGGAGTCAGACTCCAACAGGAGCATGACATAGAACTTCTGGAGATGATGGTGGGAGACCCTGGATTATGCATGCATTCACACAATGTGTCTACTACAGTGTTTCTCAACCTTGGAAAACGTTAAGATGGGTGTGATGATCTGGGGCATGGCACAGAGGTAACACAAGCAGCTGGCAGTTCAAACCACCCCTTTATTGCTCCAAATGTACCCCAAAGCTCCCACATTTCTGGCAAGTCCCAGAGCAAAGTGATCTCTCTCTCACACACACACACCTTTTGGGGTCGCGATGCCAAAACCTCGGGGGCCCAGAACCTCCGGGGACCGCATTAAGTTGCAGTGCCGGGCCACGGCCAGATCTTGCGAAATGGATTCTCCGATGAAGGCGTAATTGGAATCCAGCACTCGCTGAATGGCTTCCTGGTAGTTCGCGGTCAGAACGGAGTCCTTCTTCATCATGGATTCGTAGACCAGTTGCTGGACGGGACTTTTGGAATTCTGTGGGCACAAGCAGAAAAGGGGCTGTCTGTCTGTCTGTCTGTCTGTCTGTC